GCACGAAGAATCTTTGGTACGTATCAAATTTTGGCCTGATTTTTACTTCTGGTATCAGGAGAACATGATATGCGAAGAGGTGGCACGAAGAATTTTTGGTACGTATCATATTCTGGCTCGAATTTTACTCCTGGTATCAGGAGAACATGAAACGCGAAGAGGTAGCATAACTTTTCATTGAATCTCGATACTTACCTGTTGTATCAGGAGAACGTGATGAGTTTTCAGTATTATTTAGAACGAACACTTCGTTAGAAAGTGTTGAATCTTATTCTTATAAATTGGAATTTAATAGGGCAAACGACGTCAAAGGAACATATTTCGAATTTAGAGAAAGGATTCGTACTAATATGGCCATTCTTTCGGTTTCTACATCGTCAGTCTGGTTGTATATCAAACAGACCCATTCTAATAAATTCATCCCGGTGTACATAAACGTAAAAAAGATCATATTAGAGTACAATAAAATTGATAACTATAGTGCTCATGATAATAATCGTTATAATTTCTGTGTTTTGGCAGTTTATAATTTTTTTACAATGTTTTTTTATACAATTTAATTAAAATAAAATAAATTAATCGAGATTTAAATTGGAATGGTACAAGCAAATATTGCGTAAGTATTATAAAATTATATAACATTCATTTCACCACATGTACACACACATACAATCTTGCGTTCATACGACGTACTGCTTTAAGCGTCATTTATAATAAACGGGTTGTTTATTCTCCTTTCTCTTGGCCGCGTTATCCAAAGTAAATTATCTTGCTGCAACAAACATAAAATGTAATATAACTTTTAAGGTAGCAACTAAATTACTAAATATTATTAATGTGGCGAAGCTAAAGTAAGTAATACTCTTTTATGAACGAAAAAGGAAATGCCTAGAAATTACCGTATGTCTATATTATGGGAATTGAATCTCAAAATGTAAATATGATAAATTAAAGATTTGCAATTTTAAATCGCCTCGCTATAATTAATATTTACGATTAGGACATTTACCTGAAAGTAATCTTCGATTTCTTGAAGAGTACGGTTCTTCGTTTCGGGTAAAACAACGTAGATAAATATGGTTTCCAAAAGTGCAGCAACGCCAAAAATTGCGAAAATTCCAGAAACGCCCACAGCTTCGCTCACCTTTTTCACAAAATAAGTCAAAATTGAAATAATACCTACATGTATTTCGATCCGTCCGAATGAACAGGACACGCGAGAATCAATGAAAGTAGCAATTTAAAATTTATGTAAAAAAAAAAGAAGGAAAATAAAAAATATCTCGTTAAACTAATTTGAAAAAACTGCGAATCTTCAAATCGTCATTTCGGATCCAGTTATATGTTGTAAAGAAAAATGATTGAGAAACCACAATTTTCGACCAAAAGAACCCAGATTGCCTTTTGCGCGATAAAGATGCGTCGCGGGACACATTGAAACCGTATCACTGAAACTTTCTTTCCTAAAAACAGACAATTTGCACTCCGAAACCTTGAACAGTCTCGGCTGTAATGCTCTCAGCGAAAAAGATATTCAAGTATCGCTGAAAGTAACAGAATAGCAAGATTCTCAAATAGTTTGAATGGAACAGATTGAATTGTTGAATTATATGAAAAATGGGGGAAATAACTTGTTCAACCTTGAATATTTCCGTTATTTACAAACATATTAACAAAATTGTCAGAGAAAAGTTGTGACCCTCAAAATATTGTAACATCCTATTCTGAGAAATTTGTCTGTAGGTCCATAAATAACGAAGATATTTAAGGTGAAACAAGTTAATGCTCCACTTTGTATAAGCGTAACCTACCATTGGGAAAATTTTTGTAATTATGAAAACGAGCAAATTGAAAACGAAGAAGTTGAAGCCACCCCCGATACCGCGAGCTCTTTGTGGAAGTAATTCGGCGATCATCAAAGGTGGAAGTATCATTAGCCCCAAAGTATTGGTTCCCACGTATATCAGTAGACAGATGCCAACGACGTAAATCTGAAATACACAAAAAAGATCGAAATTCAGAGATCAATTGATTAATTTATTTGAATAGCTTTTGAAAAACTTTTTATATTCTTTCGTCTGTCAAGTATATTATGAAAAAAAAATTGACACTGTACAGGAGTGTACACACACTCCTTCAACAACCTTTTTATTCCCCGTTTTACGTTACATTCTTCTCTTTTCTTTATCTCGAGGATAATGTTTCCGCGTTCTAAGCTTTCTGTATACGTGGTTGACTTACATCAATTCCAGGGGATTTTTCCTTGAATATCACGTATCCCGCGATAATTAACGACGCCGCAGCACTTCCAAGGGCCGATAACATCCCCAAGGTTCTTCTGCCCACTTTCAACAACAGGGCGCTCGCTAGACAGCTGAATACGAGTCTGGTAAGTGCTGTAATCACGGCCGCTAAGTAGCTGTTTATGGTGTCGCCGCCTGTTCGTGACACACAGAACAGAACAGAAATGAACATTTAGAATGACGCGATACGATTAACTATGCAACCGTTTATTAACACGGCGAGTTCGACAATTCGTAGGCCTTGAACAACTTTATTTTTGGAGAAATACAATTCATAGGAATCCAATCACAGTGCCCCTTTCTGTCTCGGCCCGAAAACGATCTCAAGGGTGGAAACTACCGTTCGAAATAATTCTGGTTTGCGATTTTTTTTTTTCAAACCATTTTCATTCTTTCCTTTAGGAATTTTGTTAGCACTTTCCGATTTTTATCTTCGTAACTAAGGGTTAACGAGCGTGTACTGTACACCTCTGTATTCATTTCGTGCACGTACATTACACTCACCAATATCTTTGACGAGATCCACTGCGTAGAAAACGACAATGTACGTCCCACTGATTAGTTGAAGAATGTTGAAGATGTTGATTATCGTTAAGGGTTTCAGAATACTCGGATCGAGGATCGTGGAAATCGCTGAAGAAATATGATCCAACAACGACATGTTCTTCACTTTCCGCGCTGAATCTACTTTTGCTCGAGCCTCTAAACTCGCTATTTCGGTATTAACCTGCAAGATGAAAAAAAAAAAGAAAGAAAAGAAAAATTGAAATTTTCTGGGAACACACGTTAACTGCGTTACCATGAGATGCACGTTACCTGCTCCATGTCTCCGCCTCTCAACCACAGCAGAGCTCTTTTGGCCTTGTCGCGTTTCTTTTTCGTCACTAGCCACGCAGGACTTTCAGGTATCAGAAGTAACGCGATCAGCGCCAGAGTAGGAAGTACTGTACCGCAGAAGGCTACCACTTCCCAAGTAAACGAGGCACCCAAGCCGTATACCAGCAGGATACCGAGACTATAAAATGTGAGCGAGCCACCCGTTAGAAGTCCACGGAGTCCTGGGTCAGACATTTCGCCCAGGAGGACCTGTTGTAATCAATTTTCGGACTTGTGTGTCAAATGATATTACTTGTACTTGGTGTTTCTAAAATCAGATGTAATTTGAGAAAGAATATTTCTCTGATTCTCAGAACAGATTCTTTTTAAGAAACAATCAATTTAATATACTTTTTTTTAATTATTAAAGTAATAATTCAAATTACACAATTCTATCGCATCTTGGTGCTAAGGGCAAATACTTCAAATATGCCTGGCAGCGAATGGGTTGAAAGAACGACTTAATATTATATCCTTTTCTATATTTATTATATAAATGCATGTCCGTATCATACCTGAGCTGGCACAGCCATTAGACCAACAGACAGACCCAACGTGACTCTTCCTATCAAAAGGGTTGTTATGCTTCTGGATAAACCTATAACGATCCAACCAACACATAGTGGTACAGCCGCTAACTGTAACGAACCACGTCTACCGATCGCATCTAGAAGTGGACCGGACAGTAGCGATCCCACAGGTGTTGCTAGACTGTGAACCGAAGCTGCAAAATAAAGTATCACCGTCCACATACGATTTCCATACGTTCATTGTTTGACGAAACGTTTCATGTTTTTCAAAATTATTTAAAAACCGCACGAACATTCGGTTCGCTCTAGCAATTCACGCGAATTCACAAAATTCTGGCAACTAAACAAACCGGTCTAAAAACTTTCAACCGCTAAATCCGAATTCATTTTATTCGGTGTAAATGATTTTTAAGAAAGGTTGCAGCATTAAATCAACAAGTGTAAGGACCAACTTGCGTGCAACCTACGTAAATATTGACATAAGGTTCGTTAATTCGAGGTTTCGCTGATCGTATCATTCTCCGTCGAATTTAATCGCGTAATTTTCTGCGATTACGCCGTGAGGGTGTTCTGCCACTTGAAAAATATCTCTCAATGACAAGGTGAAATCCTTGGTGATTAAACTTGGCCGAGACTCTCATTGATAAAAATTACCCAATCGACGTTATGTAGGTCAATCACAACACGCAACGCGCTGCAAACAGCTAGACGGTTTAACCAGTAATCTGCACTACGCTGATTGCTATCTAGCCTTGAAGCTGTCGACTGGTTATTGAACCTTTCTCTAGCTACGAATGACTTTACAGAAATAGAACTGTATCTTTTTTTTTTTTTTTTTCTTGCCTCGAGTAACGATGAGTAATCGTTAATGGATAATTGCGTTACTACGAATAGACGATTCGTTCACCAAGGCAATAGCAATCTTCTCGTATGCAGTTTTCTGACAGCGGTCGAGACGAGAAGGAAGAGACACCTTCACTCGTACATTAAATCATAAACGTGTCAAACATCGATTAGGTCGCACGAAACACGTTTTCGTGTTTGTGAATAATTATACAATAGTTGATGTCAGAGTCGACACTTTGTTTATCGATTGTTTATTTCCTAATTTTCGAACGTGCGCCGTACCTATCCAGGATCTAAGCTCGCGATCGGCGTGCATTGTGCCATTGTTTTCAGCCAATTGTGGTAGGAGTATAGCACTGTAACCAATTGGCATTCCCCCGCCGGCTGCCAGCAAAACGACTGCACCCGACACCAAAAACTAAAAGCACATTATCGATATTTATCAATAACAGTATATAGAATACATCTCGTAGTTGATCATTTATGAAATGGAATGTTTGTTTGATTCAATATAAACGTACATTATTATTATTATTATTATTATTATTATTATTATTATTATTATTAT